ATTCATTTGAATCAGTTCTAATGAGATGGATGAAACTGGAGCCCATTATACAGAGTGAAGTAAGCCAGAAAGATAAAGACCATTACAGTATACTAACACATATATATGGAATTTAGAAAGATGGTAACGATAACCCTATATGCAAAACAGAAAAAAGAGACGAATTTATATAGAACAGACTTTTGGACTCTGTGGGAGAAGGCGAGGGTGGGATGTTTCAAGAGAACAGCATCGAAACATGTATATTATCTATGGTGAAACAGATCACCAGCCCAGGTTGGATGCAGGAGACAAGTGCTCAGACCTGGTGCACTGGGAAGACCCAGAGGGATCGGGTGGAGAGGGAGGTGGGAGGGGGGACCAGGATGGAGAATACATGTAACTCCATGGCTGATTCATGTCAATGTATGACAAAAACCACTACAATATTGTAAAGTAATTAGCCTCCAACTAATAAAAATAAATGAAAAAAAAAAAAAAAGAAAAAGTGGGCTTAAAGCTTAACATTCAGAAAACTAAGATCATGGCATCTGGTCCCATCACCTCATGGGAAATACATGGGGAAACAGTGGAAACAGTATCAGACTTTATTTTTTTGGGGCTCCAAAATCACTGCAGATGGTGACTGCAGCCATGAAATTAAAAGATGCTTACTCCTTGGGAGGAAAGTTATGACCAATCTAGATAGCATATTAAAAAGCGGAGACATTACTTTGCCAACAATGGTCCATCTAGTCAAGGCTATGGTTTTTCCAGTGGTCATGTATGGGTGTGAGAGTTGAACTGTGAAGTAAGCTAAGCACCAAAAAATTGATGCTTTTGAACTGTGGTGTTGGAGAAGACTCTTGAGAGTCCCTTGGACTGCAAGGAGATACAACCAGTCCATCCTAAAGGAGATAAGTCCTGGATGTTCATTGGAAGGACTGATGCTGAAGCTGAAAATCCAGTACTTTGGCCACCTCATGTGAAGAGTTGACTCATTGTAAAAGACCCTGATGCTGGGAGGGATTGGGGGCAGGAGGAGAAGGGGATGACAGAGGATGAAATGGCTGGATGGCATCACTGACTCGATGGACATGAGTTTGAGTAAACTCCAGGAGTTGGTGATGGACAGGGAGGCCTGGCATGCTGTGATTCATGGGGTCACAAAGAGTTGGACACGACTGAGCGACAGAGCTGAACTGAAGCATGGCACTAGGGCAAGACCCAGTTTTCCCCAAGCCAGCTCCACCCATCAGGAAACTTGCACAAAGCTGTTATCCTCATCCACAAGAGGGAACACAGAATGAAACCCACAATCACAGAAAACTAACCAAAATGATCACATGGACCACAGCTTTGTGTAACTGAATGAAACTATGAGCCATGCCATGTAGAGCCATGCAAGGTGGACAGATGATGATGAAGAGTTCTGACAAAACATGATCCAATGGACAAGGGAATGGCAAGCCACTTCAGCATTCTTGTCTTGAGAACCCCACAGACAGTATCAAAATGGAAAAAGATATGACACTGACAGATGAAACCCCCAGGTTGGTAGGTGTCCAATATACTACTGGAGAAGAGTGGAGAAATAGCTCCAGAAGGAATGAAGAGATTGAACTAAAGCAAAAATGGTAACCAGTTGTGGAGGTGTCTGGTGGCGAAAGTAAAGTCTGATGCTGTAAAGAACAATGTTATATAGGAACCTGGAATGTTAGGTCCATGAATCAAGGTAAATTGGAAGTGGTCAAACAGGGATGGCATGAGTGAACATCAACAATTTAGGAGTCAGTGAACTAAAATGGACTGGAATAGGTGAATTTAATTCAGATGACCTCTATATATACTACTGTGAGCAAGATTCTCTTAGAGGAAATGGAATAGCCCCTATAGTCAATAAAAGAGTCCAAAATGCAATACTTGGGTGCAATCTCAAAAGTGACAGAATGATCTCGGTTCATTTCCAAGGCAAACCTTCAACATCACAGTAATCCAAGTCTATACCCCAAACACTAACGCTGAAGAAGTTGAAGTTGAACAGTTCTATGAAGACCTACAAGACTTTCTATAACTAACACCAAAAAAAAAAAAAAGAAAAAGATGTCTTTTTTCATCAAAGGGGACTGGAATGCAAAAGTAGGAATTCAAGAGATACCTGGAGTAACAGGCAAGTTTGGTCTTGGGGTACAAAATGAAGCAGGGCAAAAGCTAACAGAGTCAAGAGAATATGCTGGTCATAGTAAACACCCTTTTCATTGAAATCAGTGACAAACTGCTTTTGTTGATTATATTCTTTGCAGCTGAAGATGGAGAAGTTCTATACAGTCAGCACAATCCAGACCTGGAACTGTGGCTCAGATCATGAAATCCTTACTGCAAAATTCAGACTTCAGTTGAAGAAAGTAGGGAAAATTCAGGTATGGGCCATTCAGGTACGACCTGAATCAAACCCCTTATAATTATACAGTGGAAGTGACAAGTAGATTTAAGGGATTAGATATGATAAGAGTGCCTGAAGAATTATGGACGGAAGTTTGTACCATTGTACAGGAGGCGGTGATCAAAATCATCTCCAAGAAAAAGAAATACAAAAAAGGAAAACTGTTGTCTGAGGAGGCCTTACAAATAGCTGAGAAAGGAAGAGAAGTGAAAGACAAAGGAGAAAAGGAAAGATATACCCATCTGAATGCAGAATCCCAAAGAAGAAGAAGGAGCAATAAGAAGGTCTTCTTCAGGGAACAATGCAAAGAGATAGAGGAAAACAATAGAATGGGAAAGACCAGAGATCTCTTCAAGAAAATTAGAGATACCAAGGGAAGATTTCGTGCAAAGATGGACACAATAAAGGACAGAAATGGTATGGACCTAACAGAAACAGAAGATATTAAGAAGAGGTGGCAAGAATACACAGAACTATACAGAAAATGTCTTAATGATTCAGACAACCACGATGGTGTGGTCACTCACCTAGAGCCAGACATCCTGGAATGTGGAGTCAAATGGGCCTTAGGGAGCATTAGTATGAATTAAGCTAGTGGAGGTGATGAAATTCAGCTAAGCTATTTCAAATCTTCAAATGGTGCTGTGAAAGTGCTGCACTCAATATGCCAGCAAATTTGGAAAACTCAGCAGTGGCCACAGGACTGGAAAAGCTCAGTTTTCATTCCAATCCCAAAGAAGGGCAATGCCAAAGAATGCTCAGACTACCGCACAACTGCACTTCTCTTCCTTGCTCCCCACAAACCCAGGGGGCCAGACTTTGGCAAAGTTGGAAGTGCCTGGGTGGGGCTTGTCTGGACTGTCTAGGTGGGACCTTTATGAATCCTGTCACCGTTGGACTAGAGAAAAGAGAACTTCATTGCTTTGGAGTCAGGCTTTCTTGCTCTCCATTCCTTCCTCCCCTCCCTTCTTCCTTCTCTTCTCCTCCCACTCTTTCCCTCCTCGGTTTCTGCCTCCCTTCCTGAGCTGATATCAAAGACAAACTGCTCAGCCTTGAGGCATCCTCTGAACTTGAACTCATTCAGAAATTCTTCTGGGACCCCACAGAGGGGGTGAGTAGATGCAATCTTCAGTCTCACCAACTGCATTGCCTTTCTTGCCAAAACCTCTTATGTCTTTACAAGTTAGCTCCTAAGCCTGGCCCTTCTTGGACAAGAGACTCAGCTCAACAGCTATCCTTCCTGAGGATAGCTGAGGAAGTTTGGAATCAGAGAGTCCTGAGATCAAATCCCAGAATGGTCTCTGGCCTTTAATGTGACCTTGGTGATATACTTAACCTCTCTGAGACTCAGTTTCTTTAGCTGAAAAATGGGAATAACAGGCCCACCAGCGTTGTTGAGATCAAACGGTATAGTAGAGTGCCTGGCACTGCACAATGCTTGTTCCCGGGTCCCCATGCTCACGAAAACCTCTTTCTATCAGGCTGACTCACTCAGGTATGACTGATGATAATTTAAAATAGTTACATAATGATTTCTACTTTTAAATATATTTTAATTTCTATCATCTCACTTATACCCATGCCCACCATACCCCTTTGTATTATCATTTTCACAAACAGTATTTTTTGGAGGAGGAACTGCTTTCAGAGAAGCTGTGTCGTTTGCCAGGATCAAAGGGCCAGTGCATGGAGGGCTCAGCATTTTACCTAAGGTCTGGGAGCAGCCCAGGTCTGCACCTGAGCCTGGTAAGAAGCTAACACATGACCCTGCCGTGGAAAACTCACATTTTTAAAGCGGTTCAAAGAAGTAGACCTTCTAATGGCCTTTCAGAACTTCTTGACCGGCCAGTGGAAAAGCTTGTATTGAGGCAGGAGGGGATTCCACCCGGTTCTGCAGTCATACCAGGTGACCCCACCTCAGAAAGATAACAAGTAAAAAAGTCATGGCTTTTAGGACAGAAAGGAGTCTCAGAAAAAATTTACTGCCGTTTTTCACGTTTTGAACAGGAAGGCTAGAAAGGAATTTGAACCCATGGCCTTGTGATACCCTCTGCAGGTCTCTCTGCAAGACGGAGGGGAGGAGCTGTCGCTTGGCTTCTGTACCCTTGAGCCTTAGTGACAGCAGCCAGGAGGACCCCCCAGATCTCAGGGAACCCTGTGTTCCCTCCTCACCCCAACATCAAAGGAGCTGGGAGGGAGGAAGAAGCACCCCTTTTATCGCCCACTTGGCCTGTTCTCTGGGACAGGATGTGCAGTACTCCAGTCGAGGGGCTCTGGCGACCCCGGGCATCACTCCGGAAGGCTCTGAGGAGTGAGAAATGATCCCCCGCTCCCTGCTACACTCCCCACTTCAGGGGCGAGAGAGAGACACGGAGGGAGCTGGCAGTGACTGAGAGCTCCATCCAGCGCCAAGCATCGATCTGGCTCTCAGCGTTGTCATGGCAACGGCTCTTCGGAAGAGATCAGCTCGCCACCACAGAGGAGACCTTCTTCAGTCTCCTCCTCTCCTCTTCCCAGGCCAGGTCTCCCTCTCCTCAGCCCCCGTACCACCCCGTTCCCGGCACACCGTCCTAGTCACCTTTCCATCTGCTCCTGACAGTCGTCCTGGGCCGCCACCACCCCCCTCCCTCCATCATGCTCCCCCATCCTGCCCCCTCCTCTCGTCCCGGCCTCCCCATCCTTCCTCTCCCAGCACTTGGCCCCTCCTCATTGGCCTCCCCTGCTCTCTGCCCACCGGCCATCACCCCCGCAGGCCTTGGGGCTGCCTCTCTCCTGGGCGCACACTGGTGCCGGGACAGGAGGAATCTCTGAGCTGGGATGCCTCAGACAGCCCCTTCCCCGCTCTGCTCCCTGCCTACAACCTCCTCCAGGGCAGAGCTCAAGGCCGCTAGACCATTTTGTCCGCCTGAGTGAGCCTAGAAGGCGGCTCAGGCTTACTCTCAGGCCAAATTGTGCTCTAGTCCCTTCTCTGCCCCTTAAAGTAGGTGTGACTTCTGGCAGTAGCAACTTCTCTGAGACTCAGCTTCCTCTGCTAAAAAAGAAAAAATCAAAGCGTGGTAACACCATCCGTCTAAACCAGTTATTATGAGGATAAAAGGGGATGCCAATAGCCGCTCACGCTGATGAATCCTGGCTGAGTACCAGGCACCAGGCTAGGAACCTCACGTGGGTAACTCAACCCCATGGAGAGGCCACATTCACCGTCCCCACTCACAGACAAGGAGCTAGTTCTGTGAGAGATGACGTGACTCGCCAAGGTCACCATCACAGTGGAGTCCTGTAGGCAGCCAGTCTTCGAGCCCAGTGAGACCACCACCACAGCTCTTGGGTTCAGACTCTGTACTTTTTGTCCCCAGTATTGGGAAAGCGGCAAGCAGACTGTCTGGCTCACAGTAGGTGGCAGATATATATCACATCCTACCTTGACAGCTAATTAATTAAATCATTTATTATGTGCCCAACATATCTCAGGTGTTAGAAGTACAATGATAAATTTCACACCATCCCTGCCCTTGAAAAGTTTAAGAAGCCGTAGCAGGAGACAGACATGCAGATGCAGGCAGTGTGGTGCAGGGGTTTGAGCCCAGGCCCTGGAGCCGCTGAGCCTGAGTGCAAACACCACCTGTCGAAGGGATCAACAGGCACTCCTAGGCTTGTGAATGCACACTTCTGGATCCTTGTCTCCTCACTCACACGACGGGGCTTTCAAAGGAAACTTCCTAGATTTGTGAGACATGAAAGAGAAGGTGCACACGACCCAGCACAACACCCAGGATAATTTCATACCCCATAAAAGGGTTAAGTCAGTAAGTTTATTATCAACTCAGTTACACCAGAGCCAGGGGGAGGAGGTGATCCATACTCTTTGGAGGAATCAAAAAAAGCTTCCTAAAGGTGCTGAGATTTGCAGAATCTTGGAGAAACAGCTGTGTGCCAGGTAGTTCTGGAGGGGCAGGTCATTTGAGGCAAAGGAGTAAGCTTTGCGATGATGACAGTCTGGGGGTGTGTGAGGAAGGGCGATCAGTGTGAATAACAACAGCCTCATTTGTGGAGTATCTACTCTGTGCCTGCTGATGCTTTACGTCCGGTGATTCTTTCTCCCGGCTGCACATTAGAAAGACCTATGAAAGCTTGTGCTTGATCTATTTTAATATGAATCCTGGGCCCTTTTTTCTGAAGACTTTTATTTAAATGGTCTTGGGTGCCCAGCCATCAGCATGCTTTAAAAGCTCCTTGGGCGATCCAGGATTGTGAAGCTCTGGTCTAGGTGTTTTAGAAATTTAATCTCCACGACAGCTCCATCAAGTTGGTACCAAGAGATATGAAACAGCTCAAAGTTGTTAAGTTAAATCAAGGCAGATCTGACTCTAGGACTCTCATAAATATTAGGCTGAGGATGGAGAGGAAGCATTAGGGGAATGTTAGGGGGAAGTGGAGACAGCAAGATGGAGGGGCTGGTAGGTGAGTGGGTGGGTGGGTGGTAATAAGGGCCATGTGGCCGCTATGCTAATTGTCAGCTTTGTGTCCCTGTCTCCTTTGGCATCAGGTGGGGTGCCATCTTCCCACAAACATCTGCATGTATTTCTAGGGATCAGGGCGTGGGCCACCCCATTCCCATCTCCAGCCCTTGCTGAGTGAGTGAGTTGGGCACTCAAATTTTAACCTCTGTATGCACCACCATGGGGGAATATTATTAAAGTGTGGGTTTTCATTCACTAGGTCTGGTGAGGCCTGAGAATCTGCAATTTCAACAAAGTCCCTGGTAAAGCAAGTGCTGCTGATCTGCAGACCAAACTCTGCATAGCAAGTGGATAAAAAAGCAAGTAAAACTGCCTATTCTGTCTGTGACAGCCCATGTACCCCTGAACTTGGAGAAAGCTCTCTCCTTTCTGTGCTAGGAATGACTTCTGCACCCCGCTCCCGTCCCACAGAAGCCTCCCCAGGCTGAGAAATGATTTGCTTTACTTGTACTTCCCTTAAGATATACACATTATTACCCTGGTAGTGGTTCCCAATCTTTAGAACGCTATAGACTCATTTGGAAGACCTGTGAAAATACAGCTCAATGGGCCTCATCCCAGGATTTCTGATTCAGTAGATCTGGGGTGGGGTCTGAGAGTTTGCAGTTTCAGTCAAGCTCCCAGGTGATGTTGATACTGCTTGTCTAGGGGCCAGTTGGGAATGGCTATATCACAGTAATATCTCTAGGATGGCATTTGCTTATTATGTGCATGTGGTTAGGTGCACTGCACTATCCCTATGTACGTGGCATCTGGTATGGAATTAGGATCCCTGGCTTCAAATCCTGGCTGTGCCACTAGCTCTGTCAGTGACCATATCCATTACAGATTAAGTTAGCTGTGTATAATAGAAAACCCAAATAACAAAGGCTTGTACAAAATGGGGGTCTATTTTTGCCTCAAGTGACATAAAATGCAGAGGTAAGTGATCCAGGGCTAGGTTCTAGGTGTCGTCAATACTTTTGGCTTCTGTCACTAAGATTGCCTCTTGGGCACAAAATAGTCCCCTCAGCTCTGGCCTTCATCCTTATGTTACAGAAGAAGAAAGGGGGAAAAGACAAAGCAGATACCTGTTGTTAAACCCTCTTTTAAGAAGATGTTCTAGAAGCCACATCAACCATGTCCACTTATATCACATTGGTCAGAACCATTACATGACCATCTCTCTCTGAAAATGAGGCTGATAAATATAGTATTTATTTGCTTATTTATTCATTTCTGGGCTTATCACCATTGCCACCAAAATCTGGGTTCTGCCTATAAGGACAAAGAAGAGAATGATATTGCTCAGGTGATTAGCAATTTCAACTACAGTAACCCCTGGCAAGTGACTTTCACTTTTGGGCTCCATCCCTGTAAATTGAAAATGAGATTGATATTTCATTTATCATCTTAATGATTCAAAATGATCAAAGATATTCATTTCAACTCCAGCGTTATTGGATTTCATGATTCTGAACCTAAACTTATTAATACTTATCAGTGATGTTCAGGGGAAAGGATAGAGGCCCATGTATTACCCTCATGAAGTCCTCCAAGTGTCCTCAGTCCGATGAAATGTCAGAAAATATCCTGTGCCTGTCCATCCATTCACCTACAATACCTATTAAAAATATTTTCGGGTACCTACCATTTGCTTAGTACTAAGGATACAAGGTCGCAAAGAGTCGGACACGACTGAGCGTCTGAACTGAACTGAAGGATACAACAATGAATAAGACAGGGTGGTCCCTGCCCTCCTTGTCCTCTTAGAGTTTACAGCTTAGCTAAGAAGATGTCTATGAAAGTGTGAGTCATTCAGACGTGTCCAACTCTTTGCAACCCCATGGACTGTAGCCTGCCAGGCTTCTCTGTCCATAGAATTCTTCAAGCAAGAATACTAGAGTGGGTTGCCATTTCCTTCTCCAGGGGATCTTCCTGACACAGTGATCAAATCCAGGTCTCCTATGTTGCAGGCAGATTCTTTATAGCCTGAGCCACCAGGGAAGCCCCCAGCTAAGAAGACAGATATTAACAAATAATGCTGAAAATGTCCATCAAAGTACTACAACGAAAGTGGATGTAACACGTGAGTGCCTTGAAGAAGATGCAGGCAGTGCAACTTCAATGGGGGAGACAAAGAATATTTCCCCAAGAGTTTATTTTGAAAGTGAAACTTATACGCAAAACAGAAAAAGAGACACAGATGTACAGAACAGACTTTTGGACTCTGTGCAAGAAGGGGAGGGTGGGATGTTTCGAGAGAACAGCATTGAAACATGTATATTATCTAGGGTGAAGCAGATCACCAGCCCAGGTTGGATGCATGAGACAAGTGCTTGGGCCTGGTGCACTGGGAAGACCAGAGGGATCGGGTAGAGAGGGAGGTGGGAGGGGGGATCGGGATGGGGAATGCATGTAAATCCATGGCTGATTCATGTCAATGTATGACAAAAACCACTACAATATTGTAAAGTAATTAGCCTCCAACTAATAAAAATAAATGGAAAAAAAAAAAAAAGAAAGTGAAACCTTAAAGAGAAGGAGCCAGCAATGCAAAAAGTCAGAGGAAGGGCATTCCAGACACAGAGAACAGCAAGTTCAGACACAACCCCTGAGGCAGGAAAGAGCTGGGCTCATTCTAGGAAATGAAAGATGGTCAGGGTTTCCAAACGTCATCAGTGAGGAAGAGGCTGACACAGAATGAGGATGGAGTGGTCAGCAGATATCACAGCTTGTAGGTCCACATAGGCCCTGGGAAGGAATTTGGATTTTATTCTAAGGGCAATGGGAAGTCATTGGCATATTTTAGATAGAGGTTGAGTCAAGGCTGATCAGATCTGCATCTTTACAACATTCCTTTAGCTGTTGTATCAATAATGGATTTTAGGGGCGGGGGACAAAGTGGAGATGAAGAGACTTCTAGGAAGCTATTGTATCTATCTGAATAGGAACTGATGGGGGTAGTGATGAAAAGTGGTCTCACTGAGAGTTATCTGGTATATTCCTCCATCCATCCATCTTTCCATCCATCCGTCCTTCCATCCATCCATCCACCGACCCATCCACCCACCTATGTATTCAACCACTATTTATAAAGTTTCTCTAAGTGTTAGGTTCTACACTAAGGGTGTGGAAGATGGTTCT